AAAGTTCAAAATTTGTCAAAAAAAGTGTGAGATCAAAAGGAGTTTTTGCAAGCATTTTCAGGCCAAGAGGAGAACGTGACTCTCTTCTTTGCCATACCCTGAAGCTAAAGCAACCCTTGCCACATCCTAAGGTCCATTATCAAGCACTGTAAGTATTCAAAGGTCCCCCAATTAATTGTTTCATTTTTTCCTTAACATGTTCATGTACATGCAGTCCAAAGCGTGCCACCATGCATCCTACATATCAGCGCGCCATGTGTCCATAGAAGCAGATCCAAAGGCCAAGAAAGGGAGCACACCATACTCCTGGTCAACCAGCGCCCCACTCAATCCAGAACGTCAACGAGCTTTGTGCAAATGGGCCTCACAATTCCATTAACACCTCCAATCTGGCCCAAAACCCCCCTTGGGTTTGCAATTTTTATTTTTATATTTTATTTGTCTTATTTTTATTTTTCCCTTTTATTAACTATTAACATAATTAATATTTTTTATAAAAAATCAAAAAAAGAACTAACATTATTATTTTTATTAATTTCATTTTATTTTTGTAAATAAAATACTAATAAATAAAATAGTTTTAATTAGGCAACTTTAACCTTTTTTTTTAATAACCAAAAATAAATTTAGAATTAGGTTTATTAACTTTTAATTTTATTTCCTTTTATTTTATTTTCATAAAAACACAAAAAAACATTTTTCTTTTAATGATTAATTAATTAGTTTAATCATTAGTTTTAATTTCATTTAAATCACAAAAAAGATAAAAAAATTCAATTCTTATTCAAAAAGGGTCAAAACCCTTAGAACGTTCCCGATTAATTTTTTATTCGCGCGCATTTATTTTATTCTGATTATTATGTAACTGCTTCAAGAATGTAATAGTAATTAGGTTTACCGCTTTCTTTATTTTTCACACTTTATCAAAACGGATCTTTGTTTTTTGGCGATGTATAGACCCGCGCCTTGTAATAGCGTAGCTTTACATTCCCGCACTTTACTTTCCGCACCCCTAACTATTAAATGCATGAAAGAATGTATGTAAATAAAACCAATCCGTAGCTCACAAAATAACATGTACAAGACAAACATAAACTGAAATTGAACACACAAGCACATGCCACTCCTAGGGTACGCTTCACTCGTTGCCTCAAAACGTGGTCATCAAGTATAGGGTGTCTTAGAGGTCGCCCTTCTGTCTAAAGATCCCGTCGCCTCGAAACGGTTGCCTCGGATAAAAAAGGATCTAGGACATTAGGGTTACTTCTAAGACGTCCTACCATTGCTTCGATGACCACACTGTCTCGATAATCGAATTGACCCGAACAACTCCAACGATGGTGCTACCTACCTCTCAATGGTGGGATAGCACTATCTAAAGGACTCTTACACAGCTTAATTCCTTAGGGTAGGTAGATGACTCATGAGTACTTGCTCTTTTCAAAACAAACAAAAATACTTTTCACACCTCACACTTTCTAAACGTTTTCAAACAAATTTTTCATACACTCATGAGGACTGATACAAGAGTTACTTAGAAATCTTTCAAACGAAACTTTTTTTTTCAAAACCCACACACACTTGAAAAGCAAACAATTTTGAAAACATAAGAGCAAGTACCTAAGAGCCCATGGATAACCATGGATAGAAAGGGTTCTAACACCTTCCCTTTCTATAAATCTACCTCCTGAACCGAGAAACATTCTCGAATAAGGAATTTTGCCGTGCTTTTGTCCTTTCCATATTGGAGAACATAAAAGACGGTGGCGACTCTTGCTTACCACGACATTTCGCGAAACCAGCTTAAAAAACAGTCAATTCTATTTCCACCGATCACAGGCATGCTGTTAGGTTTGCTTCTGGTTTGAGGCAGTTTGAAACAGGCTTGAGGCAAGCAGGTTTCTGGTATGAGTTTTATGCAGGTTGGGGTGAGACTGTTTTTTGCTTGTGTTTTTGATGCAGGTTGATATAGCTTGTAGCTTATACAGGCAAGCTTGGTTTTCTTGCTTGAAAGCAGGCTTGGAGGTTACAGGCTTGTTGGCTTGCTTCTGTAACAGTTTTGTAGGTTTTAAGGCAGTTTTGAGGCTACAGGGTGTGTTATGTGTTTACAGCTTTGTGTTATATTTTTCTATGTGTTCTGCCCCCCTTGAACTGTTGGATATCTTGTTATATTTATCTATGTCTTCTCAGCCTGCCTGAAAACTGTAAGCCTGCTTTTTACTCTCTTTCTTTCTCTTCAGAAAAGCATATTTTAATGCTTTAGAATAGCTTTTTTCTGAAAAGGTTGTGGCTGGGAAATGATGAAAATTTTGAAATATTGCTTGCATTTTGGTTTTGCTCTGCATATCTCTTATCTTCCAGATTTTCTGCATTGGCTTTTTGTGTACTTGTTGATAGTTTTTGACAGCTTCTTTGACAACTTCTTTTGTCTTTCTTTGATAGTTTGGTTTGCCTAGTTTGGTTGACAATTTTGTTTGCCTTTATGCATTGTGCAACTTGTTTGTTCAGTTTGATCCTTGCAATTTGGTTTAGTTTCAGTTTGAACTTTGCAATTTAGCTTGGCATTTTCAGTTTGCACTTGTGCAGCCCTGTGAACTTTTTATGCAGCCTTTGTGCCTTTGTTTAATATGCTGCCTTGTATTTAATTAATTCCATGCTTGCAAACAATTTTACTTTCCTCTTTGTGAACTAAGAAGAGGAATTTTCTTGCGATTTGCAGAGAGGACGAGCAAAAATAAAACAAACTGATTCCAACCAACAACCTTTAATGATGAACTTTTTGATTAACTGTCTGAAAATGCCTTTTTTAATTCATCTGTGTTTGACTTCTCTTTTTCTGGCTTTGTAGGTGAATATCAATTGGGGCAAGGGAAGCAGCAGTAGAAGATGAAGATTTTAAGAAACTTAGGATGTAGATTTAATTTATTTTTAATCATTGTAATAACATTATTGTAAACACTGTAAATAAATTTACAGTATTCAAATAATATTTGTAACAAACAATTGAAAATGAATAAAAATCTTTTTTGTCAGATAATTCTTGATTTCTTCTGCACTTGTTTATTTAATTACTTAAATTTCTTGAGTTATAATAATTGGAAATTATCCCAATAATTTTAACTTAGAAATTATAAATAATCAGCAAACGTCCGGCGTTCCAAATAACCAAAAGCATTGCACAGTTAAACAAACAAACGTCCATACACCTTTTACTTCACTGATTAAACCAACACTTCAAACTCTCAATCAGAAGCCTCAGGTTCTATCCCAGAGGTTTAGACTTTGAGAAACAAACATGAATCTTGAACAAGCGTCAAAACCATGTGACAGTCAAATGAAATGTTGTGGATTCAAAATCTTCTGAGAATGCTCGTGAAAACCCTAATTCTGGATTTACTGTCAAAGAAACGTCTGCCTGATCAAACCCTGAGCCAAACTCAAACAAGTTAAAAGAAACCCTAATTTTGTCTGACTGATAAGAAAAGTCTGTTTGACCGATTCTTAAGCCAATCTGAAAAATCAGGAAAAGCCCGAAGCCGTGATTTCTTGTGAAAAAGAGGAGGGCAAATTTTGGGGTACAATAGCCGGGATACCCTTATTTTTCCTAGGTATGTTAACTAAACGGGTCTATTTTTTTTGCATAGTATTTTATGACTACGTCCGTGTTCTTAGGATGTAGAGAGTTGTCACTGTCTATGATAGCAAGTATTATAGAAATGGCAGAAAATATTTTCTTTATCACACGTGACCCTTCATATGTGGACCTGTTTTCCCTTGGGGTTAGTCTGGCGCACCTGATGTTTGACCAAATGTCTGATAGCTTTGAACTTCCTAGGTATCTTTTCTAAGAACAGTCATGGAAGGATCCGAAGACATGATATTGACACCATCTGGTGCTACTGGCACAGACAAGCAATTTGGTGGTACCGAAGGTCCTTTGATCAAGTCTCAGTATTTTTTAAGAACTATCATGGAAGGATCCAAAGACATGATATTGACACCATTTGATGCTACTGGCACATACAAGCAATTTGGTGGTACCGAAGGTCCTTTGATCAAGTCTCGGTATTTTCTAAGAACTGTCTTGGAAGGACCCGAATACATGATACTGACACCATCTGATACTACTGGCACAGACAAGCAATTTGGTGGTACCGAAGGTCCTTTGATCAAGTCTCGGTATTTTCTAAGAACTGTCTGTAATACCCCAAATTTGTCCTACCCTTTTACTGCTATCCGGATTATGCATATCACACTCTTCTCATATATACGACTTCCATTAGGTCATTTTATGCATCATGCATGATCAATAATTTGGCATGGGATCAAGGATATTGAGGAGTTAGGGTTTCTCCTTGCTTTTAGGCTCTCATCTTCATACAAGACTAGGGTTTGAATTAATGGGCGCATTAAGAACTTCTTTCTCATCAAGCTATCCACCAAGGATTTCAATTAAAGAATTAGGAGTTAGATCCTGCCAACGTATCAATGTTACTTTGAAATTTCATCAGCTAAGGGACTACATATTTCATAAGTGAAGATTAATTGGTATTCCCTCGAATCGATTAGGACTTGGGAGCTGACATGGAATTAGGGTACACATGTGGTTCATTATGAATACCAAACAAATATTGCAAGGTATATCCAATTAGATCTCTTGGAATTCAATTTACAAGTATAAAAATCCAAATGATACATTACGATGCTTCAAATACTCGGGCATTCATAGGTTTGTCATAGTTAATTCAAAGGCATCTAAACACTATGTTTGTCATTCAAGTGCATCATCACTCTATTAATGCTACTTTAAAATCAAGAAATGATGGGCAATATGCTAAGACAATATGCTCAGAATATACAGAGTTATGTCATTAATTTCAAAAGTATGTGACAAATGTCGTGAATATCATGACATCATCATTTTCAAAATTCAAAATTCAATACAAGTACAAAAAATAACATGGAAATACATTCTAACACAATCCTAAATTTCATCGTGATCACATCTTCATGCTCCGAAATCCGATTCTTTCGAGTCTCCTCAGACTTCCTTCAAGAGTCAGCTTTTCTTCAGCCATCATTGCATCCAAATATCTGACTTGCATCAGTACCAGAACATATACACCATAACAAATTTGCAGTCAAACAAAACCACAAAAAGACTTGCCTTTAATACGTATGAATCTGCGTTCGTCAGCTCAAGAAAACAAAATCTTGCCTGCACAAAGAAAAGAAAGTAAAGTGATACACAACTACCTTCAAGAGATTCCAAGCGCAAACATAATTAACTGTGAAATAAATGCAAACTACAACAACCATGCATATATACAAAATAGTAATTTGCATCACTATGCTAGGATCTGTAGTATTACATCAATGGCCGATAAGAAAAAACGACAAACAAGTGGGAATTTAAGGCATCTCAAAGTCGAATCCCGCATGGAAAGGGATTCCATAGATTCACCAGTTCAACATGATCACTACATATGTCTTAAGCAAGTATCAACAGTTCAGTTTGTCTATTATCAAATAATTCAGCTGCAACAAAAATCAAAATTCTGCATTGAGTTCAAACAAAAAATTAGAAACAAAGAGAGATACTGCCACAAAGAAGGGTCATGTACATGGTTCAGACATCCACATGGCTAAGGTTTATTCAATTGCATATCAGTCGGAAACAAAAATATATATAACAGAAGCGGTTCTGCACCATATCAGATGCGTGACCAAAATCATCCACATGCCGTAAACCTGCATTCAAATAAACCATAATAGAAACTTACAGTGGCAAGGTAACCCCAACAGAACTGACTAACTGACAAAAACTCCAACTATAACTAACTTTACAGAATTCCAACTAACCTTTTCTAACCACAGCCCCTCTCTTAACTGTCAAAACCGTAAAACAGAATTCCCTAACCTCTTTTTCTAACCCATACAACCAATTGTAACTAACTTTACAGAAAATCTCATAACCCTCTAACTAACCTATAACCATATCCTAACCGCTTTAGCTTCTAACCAATTACCTAACTGAACCAAAGCATAAATTATAACAGAAAACTAATAGAAAATCACATAAACTAACTTGTAACTGAATCATAACAAGCCCTAACATCTAACTAACTCAAATCCACTCTAACTAACTTCTGGCTCATACTTAACTATCACCTAACTGATTTAAATCTAACCATTAATCTCGTAATTGAATCCTCTAATCCTAAGGCTCAGATTGATTGATCCCTAACTCATTGTCAATCTCTATCAACTACATAACCTCTTCATCCCCTTCAATTTCAAGGACCTTCATCTTCATCACATGCTCAACCTCAAACTCTTTCAAATTCTCTCTTCGTGACCTCGCTTGCAATCTTCTATTTCACACCATCACTTTCTCTGAACCTTTACAACTTCATCTTACACCTTTCTTCATAAACCTTCACTGCAACCTCACTTCTCTGCATAACTAATCTTACATCTTAAAATAACCTTCAACTACCACCTTCATTCAAGAAACCACGCTTCATTCACCACCATTCCTCAACAATCATCTTCATCACTCTCTCTGCAACATCAGTCACAACTTTATCTCACGCCTTCACCTCACTCATCTCTTAGCAACACCGCGCATCGAAACAGAGAAAAACGGAAGAAAAAGAAGACGAAGAAGAAGATCAAATAAAAGGATAATACGCAAATTAGAAAGAAAGCAAGGGAAGAAATTCATTATTACCTCGGCTTCACAAGCTTCTCCTCTGGTCTCCTCACCTTTGTCATTGTTGAATCACCACCGGAGTGTCTCCGGTAGGTAAGCCATTGCAAACTACCTCTCTTCCTCATCTTCTTGCTTAGCTCTTGATATTGGTGCAAAGAGTAGACATCATAGGTGCAAATCCCTCTAGAATGTCACTTAGAAGCATTGAGTATTGCATTTAATTTAGGTTGCATCGCCTAGGGTTTCGTTTTTTTATTTTCTTATAAGACTTAGGCTAAGGAAATTTGAAGAACATAGATGTAGCAACTGATTCACGGAGACTAGATGATGAGAAGGCGGTAGAATTTTGAGTTCTCCAGCGAGACAGAGCAATTGGCAGCGATGGAGTTGAATAAGGTCGCGCCATCGGACGTGTTGATTGGAGGAGACGGAGGACTTCAAGACAAATATAACAAAGGTAAAGATGTAATAGATTTGGGGATTGGACGAGCTCCGCTGCCTCCGACGTGGCGGAGCGATTTCCTTTGGTTTGAAGGAGAAGACGAAGAGAGAGAGAGATAGCATATTTCGTTTAGGAAACTGGAACCTCATAAGTCCTTAGCCCTAACCCCCTCCCAAAATTCCACCATTTCCACTTTTCATCCTTTTTCTTTATTTCTTTTTTATTGAATATTAAATATAATGGGGTGCAATGAGAATAATAAGTGATTGTAATTGTTGGTGAAGCAATTGGAATCGTGCTGGACCAAATTTTATTCCCTAGGCCCGTTACTTTTTGTTTGGAATCTGAGTTGAAGAAGAACAAAAATACATTTTGGACTTTCTGGAGTGGGCCTAGCGCCCAGACTTCTGCACCCTCCTGAAATTCAATTCTCACCCCTGATTCTCTCATTTTCATTTTATAATTATTTCTAATTCTTTCTTTTATGATTTTTTTATAACAAAAATACATAATAAAAAATGATAAATATATTATAAGGCATTTTAGAAATTAATTAGGAATTTATTTCCCCTTTTGCTAACTTTTTAGTCAATTTTAATCACTAGTTTTACTCATTTTATACCATGTATTTCGTTTGCGATTTTTGATATGAATTGTATGCAATACTTCGATACTTGTTGTCTAATTTTACTTGTTTGTATGGTCTTTCATGATTCCTTAGGTGATTTAGGTCCATGATGCATAATAACATTAGGTTTAGAAATATGCTAGTCTCCATTTGACTTTTCTTTCCCCTTTTGCATTTGCATTAAAACAAAAACTTCTTTGTCCTTCCAAACTTTAAACACTTTAAAATTACTGATGAGAATCATGCCTTTGTTGAGTATGAGAGATGATAAGCGAGTATATTCTCGATCTTATTATTCTTTCATCTCAGGCCTAGGTGTGGTTAAAATCTCAAAGGTTCCTTTCATGGATAAGTGGAAAAGTGGTTAATATCTCTCTCTTGAGGTCAACTAGTCATTATCTACAACAAAAAATACAAACCAACTCAAACCTTTTTGTGCGCCTAAGTACCTTTTCTCTAAAATGATTTTCAGGTAAGGACATGATTAATTTAATTTCGTGCCAATGCGTGAGTCTCCAAAGGTCGAGTTGCAGAAGAAGGAGGAATTAACATTGTCCATAAAAAACACGAAACCAACAAAAACATGTGAGCCGAACTACGGTAGCTCTGATTCCTCAAAAAGGATATGTAGGCATTGGGGTAGGGCCCAAGCGAGTACAACTTTAATTCTCCCTCAACAGTAAACAGTAAGCATATATTAGAAACACCCTTATATAGACAACAACAGTGGATGCCTTAGAGTACTACGGGCGTATGGGGTGCTAATACCTTCCCCTCGCGTAACAGACTCCCTTACTCGATCTCTCGATCGCAAGACCGTGACTTATCCCTTCTTAGGTTTTCTGGATGTTTACCTTTTCCAACATATGGGATAAAAGACGTTCGATGGATACTTCATCGTTTGATGATTTTCAGCCGGTTATTTCAGCTGGCGACTTCACTGGGGACAAGTCGACCAATTGCTGGTCCATCCCAGAGTCGCTCCTAGCTCTTGCTTTCTTTTCCTTGGGTATTTATTTTTATGCTTTCTGTTTATTCATTCATACATGATTACCTGAGCATATGTACGCATTTCATTTTATTGTCTTCCATATGCTATTGTTGTACTGGATCTGCTTCCTAATTGGGTTGGGATGTTACTATTGAGGTAAAAGGCCTAGTACCCAGGCCAGAGTGCACTAGGACACTAGGAATAGAGTAGGGGCATGCCGGGTATAGGACATGGTCTGACTAGTGCAGTCATGTCATATATTGTGCTTAGATGAGGTTCAATTGGAGTTATTTTCATCATACACGTCTGTGTTGCGATGATTTTACTTTCAAGCGAACCCGTGACTTTCGAGTTACCCTTGCCTTACCCTAACCTAGTTTTCACCCGTGAGTTGGGAGGGAATATTTTATCACAAGTACAAATGGTGACTATGTTCAGATGGTTACTCATGTTCAGATGGTGACTATGATCAGACAATGACTATTGGTTCTAATGATTATGTTCTGGATTTCTGTCAGTGATCATGAGGTTCTCAGATTTATTTTGAGTTCCAAATCTGATGTCATGAGGTTCTTCCGGTTATGTTCCAAACCTGTGACCCTGGTACTTATGGACTATGCAGAGACAGTACAACATAAATCAATATCATGGAAGTAGTAACCCCGTGGTCACTTGCAATTACATCATAGCATGTTTATTTTTCAAAAGGAATGTCAGAAAAATGAAACTATATACTAACCTCGCATATGCATTTCCATTACGGGGTACCTCACGAAGTTATAGTTTCCGTCAATAACGTCTAGCAACAGTGATGTTCTCAAGAGGACCAAAAGTGACAATTTTACTTATTAGTGCTGCTCAAGTTTTCCGCTCAAGTTCTCAGACTTCTTTAAAGAGTTTAAAGGATCATTTAGTCCGTCTTAATGCAGGGGTTATTAGTGAAAGACATGGTGGTGCTTTGAATCTACTTCAGTTTTACGACTATGAATTATGCTACTTCACCTTCCAGGACCATCAGATCATTCCAACTTCGAAAGAGTACTCTCATTTTTCAAGATTACTGAGCACATATTTGTAGTTGTTCTGAACGAGCATGATTTTGAAGCAATTGCTAAGGCACTTTATTTGGGCCTTAGTGATGTGAGATAGAGATGGAAAAAGAATGGTATCATACCTTTGGACTAATTATTATATTATTGTCTCAATTATCGCCAGGCGTGTTGGACATAATCTCTTATCTTGAACCCTCACAACTTTCTTGTATCGAACTCCGCGAGAACTTCTCCTATTTCTGGATATTTACTTTATGTGGTCGTTCTTATTATCATGTTGCTCGATTATTACTGACATTGATTGAGCTATGAAAATCCGGAATGGACAATCATTTCATACATCATACATATCATGCATTTTATGAATTGTAGGTTTTCTGACAAGAATTCTTATCTAATTGTTTTGCCTCTTATTATCATAATCTACAAGATGACTTCCTTGCATCCTTATAGCACTCGAGCCAAAAAGTTGAGGATTATGGAGCAGATTGAGAAGAACCAGGCCGCTCTCTACAAAGACATGGACTCCATGGGTGATCGTATGAATCAACTCATGGAAACTCTTTGTGCCGTCATCCAAGGGCAGGAAGAGATCAAACTGAGTGTTACTAAGCTAGTCGACAGTGCCTCTACGTCAGAGAATGGTGTACCCAAGAATGACAATGGGGGAATTCCTAAAGAGAACCCACGGCTGATTATGGATGACCACCATGATGTCATCGATCTCGATAATCCTCCAAAGGATTCTATAGCTGATTTGTCTGAAATTTCTAAAATGTACAAGGCTTTGGGAGAACATCTGAAGGCTATGGAGACTTCTAAAAAGCCAGGATTCAGTTTTGCTGCTATGTGTCTTGTTCTGGGGGTTGTGATTCCACCAAAGTTCAAGGTACCAGAATTCGACAAGTATAAATGGGTTACATGCCCAAAGACTCATCTCTGATCTTACTGCAGAAAGATGGCCGCTTATGCTAGCAATGAGTTGTTACTTATGCATTTCTTTTAGGACAGTCTGGATGAAGCTCCATTAGAGTGGTACATGCAGTTGGAGCAAACTCATGTTAGTACTTAGGGTGAGCTTGTCGATGCTTTCTTGAAACATTATCATTACAACACTGACATGGCTCCTAGCCGTGCATAATTGCAGAGTATGGCTCAGAAGACTAATGAGTCTTTCAAAGAGTATGCCCAGAGGTGGCGCAGTTTGGCCGCGAGGGTTCAGCCTCCTCTCCTGGATCGTGAACTGGTGGATTTTTTATGAGTACCCTCTGAGGTCCGTATTTGCAACATATGCTTTGCAGTACTTCTGATTCATTTTCGGATATGGTTATCATCGGGGAGCTGGTTGAAATGTGTATTAAAGTAAGGACTATTGCAGGTGCATCTGGCACAAGTGGTAACAACAACTTAGGTAGTGGAAAGAAACCGTATTCTAGCAATTTTGTCAAGAAAAAGGAAGGAGAGGTGAGTAATGCCTCTGTTAATAAAGGGAAAGTTGTTGTACATGTTCCATATTACCAAACTCATGCTGCTGCTCCGTAACAACAGTACGTACCACCATGAAACTATAGGCAGAATCAGAGGCCCCAAGGACAAAGGGGACAACAAAGGCTGCAAAGGTATCCCGAGACGAAGTTTGATCCAATCCCGATGTTGTATGCCCAATTGCTTCCACAATTTATAGCTGGTCAGTTGGTACAACTTCGAGAGTTAGCTCCTCCACTGACAGAACTTCCAAGGGGTTATGATGTTAATGCGCGTTGTGAATTTTATTCAGGCGCTCCATGGCACTCAATCGAAAATTGCAAATATTTAAAGTACAAGGTGAAATCTCTTTTGGATTCCAAGGAGTTAAGCTTCGCTCTTATAGGCCCTAATGTTCAGAACAATCCTATGCCTCCCCACCATGGGGCCGCTGCCAACGCAATCAGGTTCGATGATGGTCCGGACTTAGTGACTCAGGTTGATGAAGTTCAGATGTAAATGGTGGTTTTAAGAGAACATCTTTTGCAGCAGGAAGTTCTACTGGAGCTTCACGACTTTTGTTTGAAATGCTCATCCAATCCGGACGAGTGTGATGATTTGAAAAATTCCATTTAGAGATAGATGGAAGAGGGGGTTTTTAGAGTTGATAAAGTCATCTTAGAAGGTGATGTTTCTATTCTAGAGATTCCGTATTATCTGGCCAATGTTCAGAGGAGCACTTCAAGAGTTCCATTTGTTATACAAGTTCCAGCGCTCCCTGCGCCAGATTAGAATCTGGTTGCTCCCATGTCAACCCAAGCATCGACACTTCCAAATCCAGTTCCTATTCCGATAGCTGATAACAGGGAAGTGCCATGGGAATATAATGTTGTTTACATCCGTGGGAAGAAAGCTGTTTGTCCTCCGATTGAGAATAATGTCATAACCAGCATTGCAGGAACTAGTAGAATAACCCGAAGTGGAAGA